ATAGCATGCGCGTTCATTTATCAATTCCTTACGAAAATATAATTCGGTAAGCCAATATTAATACTTAATATGCTATGACGAATGGTGATAAGTCTCTATAGCGTGATTGAGTCGTGTATTCGGTTTATAAAAGCAGATAAAAAGTATCCATTATATAATTAGTGAGTGAATGTTGTTCCATAAATAAATGGAGATTCTGTTTCGTGTTTTACTTAAGACAATATTGATTTCAAATTAACATACTAGTATAATCGACACAGCGTATATATTTCGATCAGAATAAGTCTTTACGTTTCATTATTTCATTGAATAATTTCTTACCTATATTTATTTAATAAAAGTACTCATCAATTTAAAATGTTCTTGGTTGATAAATACAGAGAAGCTAATCACGTACCAAGTAATAATTAGTAGTATTATTTTTCTCATTAAATTTTATAAGCAATAACATGTCAGTGTTGTATTTTCTTGTGTTCTTGGAGCGACGAACGAGATTAATTTTGATGGTTTATTTATAGAGAAAATATCTTGCGCGTAAAATTTATCATGATTAAATGCGTAGGTCTACGTACCAAGGTGTTCCAATAAAGGTGGATACAATTTGATGATACGCTAGAATAGCATTGGCAAGAGAGTCGCCTTGTTTCCTGCGGCGCGTTATATCTTGTTACCATAGGTGATCAACTAGCACTGAGGCGGTGCGCTGCCTCAAACTCTCTCGTGGGACAGCCAACACGACTAATCATTACTATTAATTATCCAAGGTCCATGCTTTCAACCACTAAGCTAAGCTTAATGATGTTTTTTATAATGGACGCGAGGGCTTGTGCGCATAATCAGAAGCAAATTGATAATTCCGACAAATAATAGTGTTTTCAGGGAAAAAAAAAAAAAAAAAAAAATATTCTGCAATATGAGTAGTGAGACTTGATATCCATATACTGTATTTCAGTGTGGCTATTCTGAAGTAAATTTGATAGGCCTAAACACCTTTTCTAGCTTTTGTATTAATATTCTGTATTGGAGATGTCAGGTGGCGATTGGCAATGAGGCAAAAGCACATCAATTTCATTCTATATTTACAGCGATTATTACGTCAACACTAACCACGAAGTGAAAATAATAACATAATCTTTTAAACGGTTCAGGTGCTGATTAATAAAGGCATTTAACTGGTTACTCAACAGCCACTCGGACTGTACTTATCAATGCTAACTACACGCGGAAATAATAGAGCATGCGCAACACGCATGTAATGGTCAATATTTCGGTTACAACATTTTCGGTCAATTCTTTTATTTGAGACATATTTCATTATTCAATTATCACCTACACGGGAGCCCACTGTAATGTGTAATACACTAGTGTGCTTTACATCTAATAATATAAATTTAATATACTCCTGTCAGTTTAATTATCAACCCCCGTCTCAAGTGAGTTATTGCACTCTTGCAAGAATACACAAGAGTGATAAATAAGATAACATTATTTTTATCTCTCCTCATCGTAAAGTGTTTACCATGTCCCCCTGTCCATGTATATTAATTATGTTCAATCATACCAGTACTAGTACGAGAAAGTTATGTTGCATGACAGAAAGTGTCCATGGGAGTTCGAACTGAGTATATCCTAATAGGTCTCCGCAGTCAAATGGGTATGATTCTCGGCTCGATAGCAAGAGGTTGCAGGTTCGAATCCCGCCGCCAGAGACAATTTTTTTCACACAACTAAATAAAAGAACTTTTCGTTAAAGGGCTAGGCTTATATATATATTCTGATCAAATATTTTATTTTACATTTATATAAGCTTGAAGTTATTACAGTGTATATCTTGCCATTACATTTTGCACAAGTGACCAAGTGACCATCAAATACAGTACACTGGACATTATCTAACATCAATCTGACACTACTACACACAAATCTCAAACATATGCTTTATTCGCCAGTTTTTTTGGGCATGGTCTTAACATGGTTTTTTTTTTCTTTTCCTAATTAGTTAAGGTCTCCCTCATTATTAAAAGAGGATATTCACTACGGACCAATCAAGCTTTCCTTATTTTGGTTAGGTCACTCATAGATTAAGTCGAATGAGTGAAAGAAACTGATGCATAGGAAAAAACTATGGACGATTTATTTATTGTCAACTAAAAATTGTGGTTTATTTAAAATCTGACTGACATACAGTTACAGGTCACTCAACTGCAAAACTTTTTAAAGTTAAATGCTATCTAAACCGATACTTTAAGGCGTTGACAACTAGCGTCTTTAATGAATGTTAACAACATGTTTCACAGACTGTGACGAAGCAGTCCAGAAAAACACAGCTACCACGAGTTACACAATTTCTTGTGAACTTCAACAAAGTACAGTGTTGGTTAATGACCATAATACCTACTATGTTTTTTTGTTTTGTAATTCATTATAAATAATTTATTTAATAAGATTATGGTTTAGAGGTCAGCGATCGCGTTGTCTAGATATCGTTATTCCAGTTTTGTGTGAAATCGTCTGGTGTCCTCATCGTCAACCTTCTCTTTTCGCCACATAAGTACATAATCATTCCTAAAAACCGACGATCTTTGATCAAGACAAGCATTTACGCAAACAAATTCTTCCCCAGGAATGTCCAACAATAATGGAATGACTTTCCCTTAATATTCTAGACGTTCGTTTTTCTAACGTGTGTAAGTGTGAGCTGTTAGAGGTGCTAGCTATTACTGCTTTCGGTTTGATTAAGAATCAACTAGCCACCAAATTGTTTAAATGTTGGAACAATTTCTTTTAAGTAGAACCGGTTTGATTGTTGCTTAGTTGTTGCTACCGACTTCAGTCCAGTTGTTGTGTGGCGCCACCAACGTGTGAAGTAGATTGCTGTACTGTACTTGGAAATTATGACAAACTAATGTTAATTCCTGCTCTGAAGATGTTATGTACATTTGTACAGGTGTTATCTCTCACGAAGGTTATGTTTTTTTTTTTAACCGGACTTCCACGCAAGGAAATAAATGATGTGGTAATTGCCACCAAACACGCACCGCACATTATTAATATCTAGTAGTGTTACCAACATTATAAGGAAAGAAGTTTTGGAAATAAAGCAGAGGGAGACGTCTCCCAGTCTGTTCAAATGATGGCGAAAGACGTGGATCTCTTAAACGTGGACCTCTTAACTGTCGACATAATCAGGTCTGCAGCTAATCGTGAGCCCAGGGCAATAATAGTCAACGTCCATTAGGACAGGACACAATGAAGAACACTGTTTACTATGTATACGTACGTCTTATGGCTGTTGATTTGGCTATTAAAAATGCCAGATGTCTATATTTACCGACTTAAAATAGCTCATCTTCATAAAGATCTTCTATTCATAGCTTTGGAGAGTAATGGTACTCATTAACAATATAAAAACAACTGCAAAGAAGTAAACAAAGCTGCAAGATAAAAACAACAGAAATATTTTTAAAAATTTGAGTAACAAAACTCAACAAAAATTGAAGATGAGCCTGTGAGAATTAATGGAACTATTTCTAACAAATGTAGGCCTAGACTCTTTTTCAACAGAGCATTTGATGAATTAAAAAAAAATCAAACTGTACATCCCTGAGATAATAATTAAATGATACAGCAGCTTATCAACAAGAAAGAAAAAAAATCAAAAACAACAAAGAAACTGGGGCCAAGTATAGTGCTGATCTGAGGTAAACGCAAAAAATAAACTGAGACTTAAGGAACCAGCATTTATCCAAATAAGATAGATGAAGCGAGTCAAAACCTAGATTAAAGAAGGGGTATGAGGAAGTAATTAAAAGTCATCAAAGCCTCTTGCACGTCCAGGATCAAGTAAATATTTTAGAAAAACACATCAGCCTAGATGCATCCTGTCTAAAGATTCCAAGATAATACACAGATGTTACTATTTCAAATACATGAATGACTGAATAAATAGTTAAACATAAACAGATAATAAAATAATCAAGGATAATACACCTAAATACAAATACAATTTATTCAATTTCTTTGTTGTCATTTCTACCTAAAATAACAGTAAACTTAATAATATCGTGTAAAACTAAAAGAAAAAGTCTTGTTATATATCAATGGCTTGGCTGATTTAGTTAAAATAGTGGTTAATTAAATTACTAATTACACAGTTAATTATATATATATATATATATATATATATATATATATGATATTGAAGGGAGTTAGCCGTTAACACTGTTGAATAAATATAATATAAATCATTAAAGTATTACAGTATATAAGAAAATCTAACCATTAGTCAACATCATAAAAATGCACTATTAAAACATTGATATTTACAAACATTAGAAACACGGAACATTTGGTTTATTTTTCTGCAGCAGAAGACCTCCACAATCCTTTTGAAAAAAATGGAAAATGGAGTTGGTAGTTCACATAAAGAATGTCAGATACATCACTTCATATGTAAGCCACAAATCACAAAATGTGCAGATAACCTTAACTGAAATATCATGCAACACAATAAAACATCTTTCTACAAGATAAACAAACAGAATAATAAACATAAAAATTGAAACCAGTAATGTTCACCCAGCTATATCACTGAATTTAAAGTATTTAACATAACATACAGCATAAATTAATAATAAATGTAGTAAAGAAAAGATTAATAATTTTATATTAAACAGTTTGCATACCAGCACTCGTGATGGTGCATGCAGCTACTTGCTTCCCCCAGGAACATTATTTGTAGTTTTCTTGCTCCACTTCAAGTATACTTGTGGCAAATATGGCTGTGTACGTGTGGTATGGGTAGCTGTGCACGTAACTACAAGTACACCGGTGGCATGATTTGGCGACCGCAACCATGCAAGTACACTTTGGTAGCTGTGGTTGCCACTCTGAATGTTTAGGTTGCACTCTTAACTTTTTTAATGTAACACAAAAATATGATTTCACTATTTAGTTCAAACATTAAAAGGCACTTGGAATGAATGATGTTCAAAGTTATATCAAATTTCAAAATCATTGAATTTATTTATACACTATACATTTAAACTGTTAAAGTTGAAAAGTATATCTCTGGGACATGAGTTAAAAAATTACAGAGTATGGTAGTTCTATTATTGTGACATCCAATATTATCTCCTATTCCAGTCTACTGCTAAACCTACCTAACATAATTTATCTTAATAGTCAAAATAATATATTTTCAATGTATAGTTCTGAAGTTTCTACAAGGCACTTTTAGAGCAGATGAAATTGCATAGTAAAGTAAGATTTGAAGCTCAATCATAAAATAAAGTTTATAAAAGTACAGTATTAACTGTTTTAGTCAAATGTAAATATAACTTTAAACATTAGAAGGAACTTGGAATGATGGAACCCTAGTACTCTTACAGATATGAGTTTCAAAATAATTGTACATAAGGTAGGTACTGTAGAATTTGGTTCATGCATTCTGTTTGTGAGACTATGTTCATCCTGCTATGCTTGTTAAAAATGCAAGCATCTTGAATCACCTACGACAAGAAACATTTGACTCTCAATGCAAATTTGAACTGATGAAAATTGGTCTAACATTACAGAGGTATGAATAGGTCTGATCTTTTAGACAGCTGTGAATTGGCCTACTCTTCCAGATGGATGAAAGTAGGCGAATTTGCACAACAGATGTGAATAGACTCTTTCCCAAGGACAGCTGATAATAGGGCTACTCTCCTGGACATGCGTGAATAGGCCGACTCATATAGATAGGCCAAAATAGGCCTGAATGAAGCATGTGGGAAAATTTCCACTCGCATGGACAGGGGTGAATAAGCTTATTCTCCTGGAGAGGTGTCAATAGGCCTACTTTCCTGGATAGGAATGAATAGACCTACCGGTACTCACAAAGATAAGTGTAAATACTGTAGATCTATTCACATAGATGTGTGAATAGACCTAGATGCAAAGTATGAAAATGTCTACTCACAGGACAGGTGTACAAAGGCATAATCTTTTGGACAGGTGTTAATATGCCTATTCTCTTAGACTAGAAGTCATTTTTGTAATTCATTACAGAGCAAACCTTATGTACTATGGGAATGAGTTAAAGAAGTTAAAACTGAAACTGCTGTGTTTCTCACACCAACCACATCTGTACATGTCCAATCAGCTACTGATGTGTTGTGGAACTGTTTTGGTGACGTCATGGAAGAAAGGGTGGTTCAATGCCGACTTTGCTGTAATCCTACGCTCAGGCACGAAGCACAACATTTGCTATAAATAAATATAGTTGGATTATTTATAGAAAAAAAAAAACCAAATTGTTGTCATTACATGAGAATCAATATTATTATTATTATTATTATTATTATTACATGTAAATCCAATAACTGTAATCAAAGAATTTAGTGAAAAAATGGACAATATGTTGACAACTTAGAGATTTATTTTACCAATTATGATTCAACATTAATTTATAATTTGGTTTTGAACCCAACTACTAAAATCATGTAAACAACTATAGAGGGTGCACTTGTTCTTGCTACAAAGCACAGGTAGAAGCTAAACTGCATTGGCACATCATTAGGCCTAAACGCAATCACTCACCAAGTAATAGTGTTATCATCATCCCATAGTCAGAGGTCACTCATGAATACTATTATTGTTTTGTTCACTGTATTTTCCATATCAGTTAGTTTTCGCTAGTGCATTGGTATAGCAGGCCCCTCTTAATAACTGGCTTAACAGCAATAACAGCAGTTGTATCCCCATACTGCTGTTTTGGTACTGGCTTTAATTTTTCTCTTTTTTCTTTTTTTTTTTGTAAATCTATAATTACAGTAACCACCATTTCCGTATCCCCCCAACCCCAGTTTTTAAATATTCAAAAATCTGTATTTATTAGCCATTCCCAAGTTTTTCTTTAAAAGACCCTTTCTCTGTCTTAGAAAAATCTGAAAATTATAAAAATTTTCCTCCGGAGCATGACTTTCACTACACGAAAGGCATGGTAAAAAGGTGACCCTGGTAAACTAGGCCCCAATAGCCCGCACATGCAGGTTGGTAGGGAAGTAACACAAAAACACTATCAATTCTAACAATATAACCTTTGATGTTTTCATTGAATATTCTTTTTGTAGGGTTCAAAGAAAGCTTTAGTTTTTTTTAGTTTCTCACAATATATGTAATAGGTTGTCTTATGTACAGGGTACTTCATGTAAGATACCAAGGGCTGATTGTAAAGGCACTTTTCAGGGTATCTTAAGTTATGAGAACTGGCAATAGTCCGGTACATATGCCACAAAATAAAGGTGTCCTCTTAGAATATACCAGTGTGTGAGAGCCACTAAAAATATGAAATGATTACTTACTGAAAGTAAATTCTTGCCATCTTTATCTAAGGTAGGAACAATCTTGTTTATATCTTGTGCATTCCATTTTGGGAAGGTTGATTTAAAATCAGGTAATTTAGTAACACCTGGCCAAGTATTATCATCAGGTGTGCCAAGTGTTCTGAAAATCCTAAACAACTGGTCAATCTCAGAATCACCTGGAAACAATGCACGGCGAGTCAACTGTTATTCAGGAAAAAGAAATGCAGGAGTATTAGTCAAGTAGATGCAATAATAATAATGGTAATAAATAATAATAATAATAATAATAATAATAATAATAATAATAACAATAACAATAACAATAATAATAATAATAATAATAATAATAATAATAATAATAATAATAATAATAATAATACGAAATTTCACATTATTAGCCCCGGTCATTGGATCAATCACATATGGAACACATAATCAGTTCCTTGGGGAGAATTCCATAATGTTGCAGTTGTAATCAGCGCATTTGTGGTTGAGCCTACTGGGAACCCACTTGTACACCTGGGTGGATAGAGACTACTGTAGGTAAAGTGCCTTGCTTAAGGACACAAGCAAAGGCACAGCGAGGGATTGAACTTACAACCTCAATTTTAAGAAGCAGAGCCGCAACCGCTGCACCAAACCGCTCCTAAGTACACTTATGAGGCTTAGCTATAGAAATAGCCGATTTAAGGATTTTCATAAATCTGCAAAAATAGAATTGTTTTGATTTGTGTCTCATTAGAAGTAAATTATTTGATCCTTTTTAATTAGCAGTTCTACATTTTTATTTCTTTTTGTAAAGGAGCATAAAAGAGGGTTAAATATCAGTACAGCAGAAACCATGACGTACAGTACTGGCATTGTTAAATAGAAAGTTCATAAAAGTAAATTCAAGATTCGTAATTTCTATTGTAATACTAATCTTTTGCTAAGTAGTAACATACGTATTGAATGAAAACATAAACCAAAAGAGTATGGAATTGCAAGAGGTCTGACTATCCTTATTTTGCAACCATGCTTTGAAACAAAAAAATATTAATATTACCCCAAGATACACTGTAGGGGAGAAGTGCCCTATCAGAATTTGAATAGTCCAAAATTCAAAAATGCGTTCTATAGATGCAGTACACAAAGGACTTTTACATGTATAACATCTCTTTTAAGGGACGCCCTCTAGTTTGTAGTCGTACTTTTCAAGATTATGTTTCAATGGAACCTTGACAGTTGGACCTCTTTTCATTCTATACTCTTTGGATATACTGTCAGCTGTAGATTTATAGACATACCATTTCAACAAATATGCAACCGAGACTCCAAATATCAACAGGCATGTCATATAAACGGCAGCCTAACAGAATCTCAGGAGCTCGATACCACAGAGTTACTACCTGAAATAAAAATCATCATGTAAGTAGGAGTTAAAACAGAGTGTTTATAGCTCCTATATGAAAAGTCAACTCTTTAAATTAAATTCATATTTGAAAGCAAGTACTTGCTAATTACATGATAGATATATATCATTGTCAATAAAGGAAGTCTTTTCAGAAAGCTTGGGTGTGAGGAAAACTGATGTTTGCAGAACTTTAATGTAGATCTTTGGAATTGGAGCCACTATCCAACAAACAGCTTTAATCCATGTTTTCAATTACATTGCAAAGCTAACCTCATGGGTGTACGTTCTAACAGGCAGTCCAAATGCTCTTGCCAGCCCAAAATCTGCTAACTTAATTGCACCAGTTTTGTCAATCAGCAGATTTTGTGGTTTCAGATCACGATGTAGGACTCTATGAGAATGACAGCAAGCAACTCCTTTTAACAACTGATGTAGATAACTCTGAAAGAAATACATACAATTGTTTATCATACAAAAATGCATAAAAAAATTTATCAAACAAGGTGAATATTTTTCAACATGGATCATACATGCTTCAATACATTTCATAAGTTAAGAAACGAGAATGCATGTTCATAAGTGGTGTCGGTAACTGGATCAAGTTTAAATACATTTTGGAACAAAATTTGAAGAAATGGAATAATGAAGAAAGGGAATTCCTTACAATGTTCAGAGACATGTCTCCTCTCTACATTGTAACTCATTATGTTTTGGTTTATGTATATTTTATTTATTTATTATTTTGAATTTTGTTAGAATAAATTCATTTGTAGTATTTGTACTGAAAGGATGCATTTTCAACTATTGATTAATGTATTTGTATTTTGTACTGGATAGCAGTGGTTATATGGCTGTATGTCATGGTGATTAATTCTATTTCGAGATCATCATCAAGTCCTGTAATGGGTCTTTGGGAAAAACGTGCAAGCTTATGCCGTCTTTGATTACATTGCTGCATCCCATAACAACACATCGTTTCGGAATTTTATTGTTCTTTTTCCATACAAGCTTCACTCTACCATGTACAAACAACGATTGTGATTCGCGCGAAGAAACTTCGTTCCTCTTCTGACGTTTTCACAAAGCGGCTACCGGAAACTAACGAAGATTCGCGTCTGAAACCGAGTCGAGAGCACCCTCTACAGAAAATACCATGTTCCAAGATCTTTAATGCATTCAATCAAACTGTCTGAAGGTTGGTGGCGCTCTAACGTTTTAGGCTTAAAAATTGATAAGTGCCAAGCATAATTCAGGCTGATATTGTATCTCAAAGCTAGCAGTTAACTCAATTAACAACATCTGCAGAGAAGGATAGACAGTGGGGGAGGGGGGTCAGAGGGAAATTTAACAATTTGTGTATTAATTTTTAAATAATTACAGGTACTTTTAGTTTTGGCATACATACATTTATCAACAGTTGTAGTTTAACACTTTTGGACAGATTTTAAATAGAACCAGAAGAAATTTAGCACCAAAAAAAAATTGTCACTAACAAAAATAGGCAGGGAATGTCCATCAGTGGAATGACCAATAACTTCCTTTGTGTAGGTGTACATGCATTTGTGGAAGGATTGTGGCATAGATCGGTATATTCACTAAATAGCAATCCTTTGCCTTTGTACCTCAATATCAAACCCTACCTTGACTAAAGAGAGTGGTAATCCTGATGGTGGTGCTGAATCCATGTACTTTTTCAGGTCTTGGTTGAGAAATTCAAACACTAAATACAATTTCTTCTCATTGTGGATAACATCAAGCAGTCTATAGAAAAAGGACACGGTGAAACTTTTAATAATTTAGGGCGCATAGAGGTATTTTACATTATGCACTATATAAGTTGACAATCATTATTATTATATTACAATGAAAAAGAATGTCATGTTAATAAAGCACACTGCAAAGTGTAAATTTGGTGATAAGGGTTTGGGATTCCAACCAAGTACCATGATTGTCAGTGTGTTGTTTATTGTATGCACGATGCTGGACACATTAGTTCATTAATGTTAGTCTCTCTTCACTTATAATTATTAGTTACATTGTTTCTCATTCATATTTTTATGACTACTGGATAGATGGTATATCATTACTGATGCCTGTTGAAGGGAATATAGTATTAAAAATAAAATTTACCGGACAATGTTATCATGATTAAGCTCCTTCAGTAATGCTATTTCTCGAATGGCTGTACTAGGAACACCTTCTGACTCTCTGGAAATAGAAATCAATAAAATATAAGAGGAACATAATGTAGGGTTAGCTATACTAGGCCAATTTAATAACCGCTAAGTCTTTTCAATACCATAATTAGCCTTTCTAGGGCCTAAATGCCTATGCTACTGACCATATCGTAAAATAAACCAAATGTGAAGAATGACTTCTCAGGAAGTGGGTGAGTGCTTATGTTGTTTCTTCTCCAAAATTTAAAACATTTGCCAATTTATATAAAACATATAATTACTTAACACTCACCACATACTTAAATGATTTTTTGAAATATGTTTTTTAATTAAGTTATTTAACCACTAATCAGGACGGTATATCATAATTGATGCACAATCGCTCAACCCAGTTAACTCTGCACAAAGTTTGACGACTTGAGGCTTCCAGGGTCGTTGGTCATATAATTGTTGCCCGATTGTTGTGTGTTCTGAATACGCTACCTATCAAAATTTCAGTGCCCCTTGCCCACCAGACCCCATCATAAAAATAAACCATGTGGTAAACATGATGAATAACTTCTCAGGAAGCAGGTGGGCACTGATGCTCTTTCCTCTTTTGCATTTAAAATAGTTGCAAAATCATTTACAGTACAATTATTCAACACACACTCACTCGCATACTTTGATTAATTGTCTAATATATGGCTTTTAATTAAATTAATTAACCATTAATCATGTTACATTATTATTAATCCTGACTACAAGGACAAATATGTAAAAAGGTACAATTGGTGGATTTCAGGGTTGGTCATGTAATTATTGCCCAACTGCAGTTTTAGGACAGTACTAATGTCTTTTGAATGACTTTTTTTTTGAATAAATGTTTGCATAGGTTATTGTTGCGGCCCGCAAAAATGAATTACAAACCCTACGTGTGCAGCCCGTTAACCATTTTTGGCTAAAAAACACCTTGTTTTTTGCAGCCGATCATCTGTAAAACTTAATAGTAAAACTGAGCATAAAGTGGCCATAAAACAGTATATGAAGGTTTTTGGAAGTGCACTGAAACATCAAAGTTTGGGTGCGGCCCACGAACTTGAATCAAAAATCTCTGGCCCTCTGATCAATTTGAATTTACCACCCTTGCACTAGGCCTCCTAGGCTAGGCCTACAGCAACAACTTTTGATTTTTGGGAAAATTTCAAAATTGTTTTCACAAATTTCACCTCCTTGTTTAATATTATTTTCATTGAACTGACAACAAAATCCTACCCTCTTTTTTCTCCTCATCTTTCATGTCCTTCACGCGTAGGCCTAGGCTAGGCCAGGCCCCACCTCTCTTTCCCACACTCAGCAGTAAAGAAAGAGAGAGTGGAGGAATTAAATTACAATGTGGCAAAAGAGGGAATAGCCTACTCTCTAGCCCTAGGTTAGGCTGAAACTAAACAAACCTAGCTTATAAAAATATGTGTGGTAACTGCCTTGTGAAGTCAAGCCTAGGCTAGTATTATTAGGCCCGGAGATTCCTAGGCCCTAGGCCTAGGCTAGGCCTGTGCCTGGTTCGATACACTGCCCCGATACACCGCCCCGACACACCATTGAGGCCTTGCGTACGGCCGAGGGCGCCCACCCGAGACTTACGTATCTAATCTTATCTTCTTCAAGGCAACCACTTCCCCTGATATTTTATCGCGTGCCTTGTACACCACTCCATATGTGCCTTCGCCAATTTTTTCAATCTTCTGAAAGTTGTCCATGTTTTTCATCTGAATCTGCTCTGTAACAATTTCCCCATGATAAAAGGATAAATTAAAAGTAAACAATGAATAATGAGCAGACGTCAAACAAAAAAGGAAGGGTTGTTTTGTGTTTCCGCGGGTTTCAGTCACATGTAATTTATCACGTAAATGATTGGTCCTCTACCACCCAAATATGGTTGCTGAAGGAAATTAATCATCATTGAAGCGTTAAGGATTAATCACAAATTAACCAATGAGAGCCTACACATCCTTATGTAGATATGAGAAACTTTTCCCTCACCGACGTAAATACAAACATTAATATACCAGTAGTTCTTTGCTGATATACAGACCCTTTTTTCTAAGCATGCTTTAATTCTAAAGGTCTAATTACACAGAAATGATACCACTATTTGTACTGTACATCTGTTATTTGACTTGGGAAATGTATTCTTCTTGACATTTTAATTGAAAGGTATTATAATAACTCAAAAATGCCCCAGTAAGTATTGAGGTAAATTCTGCACATTTTTAACTTGGAAACCTCATTCCTCAAATCTAGGCTATTTTAACAGTACATGTATATAATAATAATAAGTTGACTTTAAGGTGCAAATAAACAAGGTTAGATGTCCAAGTAAAGAAAAGGTAAGGTGAATGTAAAGAAAAAGGGAGAAATGATGCAGGAGATTTAAAGAACAGAGAAAAAACAAGAACAGAATAGGTTAGGTTAATAAATGTGAAATTCACTTGTTAACGTGGCCTATAAGTTATGACATTATACCTCCATGTTCTATAACAAGTGCTTAGCATTGACCTTTTTATTAAGGATGGGGGGGGGGTTATACAAGCTTAACAATGTGGGTTCAATTAGAAGTGATGCAATAAGTATTACCAAATCGCTTACTTTGAATCACCGCTCTTCAAGTTTATTATTTTCACCATGAACTGCTCATTATATGGAAAGGATTAGACTCAACCTCATCAATAATAACAATATTATTTAAAACTGATTATATAGATATCAAAACAGGTAATAGAATTATATTCATGAACTAAAATAATATAATTTTTTTTCTGTATTTCTCCATTTTATTTGTGACAATTTCGTCTGTTTTTCTATATGTTTACTTCAAAGACATTTGGATTTACACTAGAAATTTCAACACCGGATGTCTTTGCCATGCCAGTTGGCGTGTCTATTATGTCAGCGATTTTTCCAATGTCCTCTTTTTTTAGTGCCTACCCATGTATAGTTCACAATATTTATTTATATTTTTAGTGTATCAAAGAAAGTTTGTAATTTTCCTTCCTCCACCTCGTTTACCACCATACCTGATCTAAATCTCAATTTTGATAATCCATTTAATAGCCAAGGATTTGAAAATCAATTAATTATCATAGCCAATACTACTACTTATTTTACCAAGTCACTCACCATTATCAATAATGATAAGTATCAAAGTAATCAAATTATAATTAAGAACCAAACAAAGAAAACATACCATAAACTATTTACACATAAGCCTATATACCTCAAACTAATACTGTTTTATTAAGCACGTACATATGAGGTTTTTGGCAGATGAAAAAATATGAATGTGCAAAATAATCTGAATATTGGAGATGCAAATAATCACTTTTCTTCGATCGATAGGAACCTAGCAGAAAATTATATTTAATTTCAGACCATCTAATTTTCAAATACTGTCTCAAGGGGCTCTTTTACAAACACCTTGTTTATTTCTCCACTAAAAGAAAATTACATTTAGGACGATTAATTCTGAATTGAATACTGTAGGCAGTGTTGATTAATTCAAACAAACTTTTGAAAGGAATTCTTCGATCTTTCATATTTTTGTTTACAAACATGATTGTAACTAAACCTATACAAATCGCCTGGAAGGTCTCCCCTTTCCAAAACATTGATAAACATTATTTTAATTACAATACAGATTTTTACGTTATCTCCAATTGTATAAAATACTCGAAATAATATTGTGTATATCGATTGTATTCATATTGGGCCTAAAAAAAGCAAAGTACAGTATAACATGTTATGCTGTTTTGTTTTTTTTTTGTTTGTTTTTTTTTTTTAGAATACGGTACCGTTCAACATCGATAGCATATTTGATTTCATTTCACTTATATTTCATTTCACTTACAAAGGAAAACTCACAGATTTAAGCAAAGCATTTTACAGATCAATCATAGCCTTCATGTTTTTAAATTATAGCATCATGATGTCAGTGTCAGTGGTACAGAGTTGCACACACATACACTTGAATCCACCACTGCACCTCCTCCACACCCACTCACAAAAGCCCGCCCACATTAAGTCGTGAGATCATTAGTACCTCTATGACAACCCTGATGAAACCTGAACAAATTTCAATTGGCTGGGTGTTTCACAACATAGCTCAATCTTCGGACTCGCCCTATTCACCCTTGCTTTCTTGTTAATTCTAAAATATATACTTTAATTTTAATGGCGGTAATAAAATCAAGACATCATCATAATTGCTATTAATCTAATGGGTCTAATAATCAATACTTTAGGCCTACTTATTTTTAAAGCGGTATAAAACGTCTGAAGAATGGATTTGTATAATATAATGGTAATTAAATTAATATTAGTTTTTAGCATTTTAATGCAAAATAATTTACACACTTCGTAGGTTTACCCCTTTAATTTATATATAATAGTGGCAGTAGAGTTCTTAATATCAAAATCAATGTTTGCCCGGCTAAACAGCTACAGGGTCTAAGCCTCAGCATCATCCTGGCCCTGAGTTGTTGAGTTAAAATCAACCTCTCTAAAATCCTTCCCAATCCAAGTATGATCCTCGACTGATGCTTTGCTTCCTAATTATCTCACCTCTCCCCCAAAAATAGTTTTCTTTTCCCATGCCTTGCACCCCTATTTGATCCGGTCTCCCACCACCACCACCACCACCACCACCACCACCACCAATTTTATCAACCATGGTGCTGCCGCACCATACAACAGTAGAGCTCTCAATTAACACCATTTTGTTTTTTATGATCATTTTGTACAGCAGTTTATTATCTTTACTGACCATCATCCAAATGAATTGTTGTCAAATACATTACTCAAAATAACTTAACGAAACCAAAAATATATATATTTTTTAATTTATTTTGAATCATAACTGAATAAGAATCACACAATTTTAAATAGACAGCTATAATTACCTCAACACAAAACTATGATTATTCTATGAAAGACAAAGCCGCCATAGATTAGAAATGAAAACTTGTCCTTAACTATGTACAAGTTTGAATAACTCATTTAAAAAGATGAAATGAATTATTAGCTTCCACCAAGAAACAAATAAAAAAAAATTGTTCCACTGATTTACAGACATTTTACTACAAAATTCTTAAATTGATTACCCGCCAATTTAAGGATTTTTGTAGTAAAATGAAAAAGTATAAATTGGTGAAAACAAGTTGTTTTTTTTTTTTAATCAGTTTCTTGTCAGAAGCTAATGATTTATATGATCCTTTTAAATGCACTATTAAATTTTTTATTCTTTATTTTTGAGGTACTGTATTTTTTTGTGTTTTGACTGATAGAACTTCTTTAAGGGCAAGAGAACAGCGAAGCCACGCGCACACACACACAGCCCATGGTTGTTGGCCGACGCAATTCCAAGGAGAAACGTAATGTGATGAGGCATGTGCAAGGCATGAGAGATGGATTCACGGTCATATTAAGGCCAACTCAGACAGCGTCGGCCGACGCAGCCCGACCCGATTTATCGTCGGGGACAGTCTTAAGCCGTCGTGAGAAATATTATAATAAACACGTTTAATATTCTACTACGCGACTGCCCCCGACGCACACCATCACTCACACAGACCCGACGCGACAACAAATCGCGTCGGGCTGCGTCGGCCGACGCTGTCTGAGTTGGCCTTAACAATGAGCCCAAGCAATTTGTTCTCAACTTATTCTGTTAGAATTAAACTTATTAGTTGATGACTTTTTATTAATTATATAACAATTATGACAGAAATCTTTAAGTGAATGAGGCAGTGTGCAGATACATCAACAGAAAAATTCCAATAAACACAACAATCTGAAGGAACCAGCTCCATGTGTCAACATAAGTAGCAAGTAACCCAAGACAAAACAGAAAAATAAACTTGTATAGAATCATTCATGCAAATCACAACTGTACAATAATAATAATAATAATAATAATAATAATAATAATAATAAGGCCACAACATGCATAGTACATTGTCTATACAAAGTCTATACATTTTTTCTGATGTTACGCCTATACCAAGTTTAAATGTAATGAGTAATTATACACAAATGTAAAATTTTAGGGGGAAACATGCTGGGGTGGCATGGTCAGGTGTCACTTAAAATATGCTGAAAGTGGTCCGGGGACGGGGGGAATATGACAATATAGAAGTTTCAGAGGCTTATTTAATCAATTTCATAGTCTACTAATATTTTATACGGTAGGCCTAGTCTACTAATATGTAGAAAATATCATATCATTTTTTTCCTCCCTTACGAATTGTGATTTTTCTTAGAAAATATAGAAAATTACAGTATCTGGGGGAAAATTCCCCCTGCCCACCACCTGCTGGTGCTGCCACTGATTTTTGATTGCTCACCATTGAATATTTTCATCCTTTACTAAAGCTCTGTCCAGACTAAATTTTATTTGATAAAAACAAGCATAATATGGTCATGATGACATCACATCGGATTTAGGATTGGATATATTCAGTGTAAACACCAAGGATAACCCACAAAAGTCTAGAAGAAGACTTATTTCTAGTGGGGTCCTTCTGGTGGTGATTGGGCAGTACACCGGGAGACAATCCCCTACTCTTTTCCGAAGAGTGTACTACGTTCTTTAACGCGAACATGGGCCATAAATGCACACAGGACCAACAGCTTAAACGTCTCATCCGGTATTGTAACTTGTATTTCAGCCTTCCAGCTGAAACACGCCTTCCAGCTGAAACACAGCAGGGAGGCAGGGATGGGAATTGAACCGGGGACCTAGAGATCTCCACGGTTTAGCGCACACACAGTGGCCACCACCAGATTAGCCGACTGAGCTAAGCTGCTCTCATCATAACCATATGTACGGTAGACACATCATGATTATATATGGGCATACAACAGTTTTTTTTTTTGCTTGGACAAAGCTTCAGATGAGGTGAACATCTGGCTGTCACACAAGTGCAATATCATCACAGTGACTAACAACATTGATCATACCATATTTTCAAAACAAAACAAAAATGAATCATAACTTGGTACCAACCCAAACAAAACAGAGTAGACTGGCCATGACTGGAAAGGACTGGCCTGCCAACCAGGAAGAAGAGTGCTCCCCTTCCTGCTAACACTGCACTCTGAAGGTTACAGCTAATTCATGAATCCTAACACAAACATACCCCTTGAATTGTAATGAAACATGGTAGTGTAAACAACAATTTGTTAACAATGTAAGCTGTAAGCTGTCTAATCAAGGGCAAGAAATGGTCAACATGGGTTTATAAGTCAAGCCAGAAAAAAAAAATCACTGTCAAATTTGTGGTCTACAAATAAATAAAACAAAAAATATTGCCCTCCAATCACAGCTATTTTTTTTCATCCTTTGAATATAACACAGGCTAAAAATATCTCAGAGCAGCTTAAATTGGCCACACCTTCATTTGAGGCCCCACCAGTTTTGTCGCAGCCCCTGTCAGATAACGTTATCCCCTCTCACCCACCCCCTAGAGCCACCACTGACATGTATACACATATAACAGTATTCTAATAGAAGTAATGATCAATTCACAATAGTGAAAATTATATTACAGAATACTGTATTACCAACTTTGCTAACATATACAGTAACAAAGATTTGCAGTATATTTACTTGTGTAGACATTAAATTAATTAATTAATAAAACCCATTACATATTTATATTTCTAATTTACTGCGAAATGGAGTGGAACACTAATTGACAATTCACTAAACCCCAATGGCGTTAATCTGGATTTTATTAATTGAACACGCAATAATCACCAACCTTCTGTTGAAGTAATATATTATTTATCATATTATTATTATTATTCCAACATGTGCATTTTAATTTACACATTTGTTATAGAAGGAAGTTATATAAAAATTAAGCACACTTTATTGAACTGAAAGTGAAAAATCCAAAGATAAAGATTGCATTTTATAAGAGTCAAGTCAAGTACTGCAATTTAGAGTGTTGTGACATATAATAGGAATGGAAAGTGTCTTAACTAAAAAGTACATCACTGAATGCGACATATTTTACAACAATACACAACAAAGAACTGCAACATTGAGCAATCCACGGCACGAAACAACAATCTAAAATTAGAAACTTTCACATGGCAATTAAGGGCAGTATAATACAAATATTACATTTTGATCGCTGATCATCAATAACATCAAGACTGCAGCATGGTCTTATGATAAAATTCTAGGCATACTGATCACCAGTATGCATTTATTATACTAATTATACTTCATATGCAATAACAAGTACATAACTTGCCAATTACGGGGTGGAACGATGATTTAGAAGTTCTCTTTATGAGGCTCACAGAGTGGGGTTGTTTTTAGTCATGACCAAAAATGGTGGGGTTGCAAGCATGATTGGAACCCAGGAACCTGAGATTTGAAGGCAAGCCTCTTAACCACCATGCTATTCTGCCACTCATAAATTTTGGACCAAGCTTTCTTTCACTCAGCCGGCATTATGCTACCTTGAGTTTGAGGCAAGCAACCAAGTCAAACAGTTGATGTTGCTGTTCTAGCGAGCCCCTCCTTCAAACAATTTAATATCTTAAAAGTTTGGGGGATATTTTTTTTCCTTATAATTTTGTTAGATTTCAAACTGGTTTTCTTCTTATTTGTTTCTTGAGCACACCAGCATTGATAGTTTTGTTCTCTCTACTCTCAGATTTGCATTGCCTTATTTTGTTTTAATAACAAAACAAATAATGAAATCCAACTAATATAACAGTTGTTAAATTGTATGTCTAGAGCTAAGGTAGAAATTAAAATTAAATCTAAAGTCAACAGTTAAAGATGTCTGTGATAAAAAAAAATACAAAAATGTTTGATTAGCCAATTTAAGGACTTTTTGCATACTGTAGGAACTTTAATTGATATTCAAATTGGCAAATGAAATATTTTGTTATATTAATTGTACGCTAATAACGATACTTAAATATAATGTAAGCAACAGAAACTGAATTCAGTTGGGAAAAAATTTTCAAGATCATTGTATGCCATATATCTTTTAGCAACATGTCTTAAGAATTTGGACCTCTTAATTTTTTAATTTTACAGTACAGTAAGCCTCGTGTATTTGCCAAAAGCAATTTTAATTGTAAATGCAGCCAGCTGTAAGAAACTACCCTGCTGATGAAAGTTCTTGCACTATTTTTTGATTAAACATTATTACATGCAATAACACATTATATAAATACATAATAATTCCGAAACCAATAGAGAATGTAAGTATGACATGACAAACTCATACAAATTTGCAGTAATTACCTGACATATGTGACTACAATATAATAATATGATCAATTTAAACATCAAATTGTGATATTATTAAACACACTTCATAATGACTTCTTTTAAATATTCATATTTCACATAAACTCCCCCAACAACTACCAATGAATTTTCAATAACATAACATATTTGTTTTAATCTAATTGATTTTTACATTTCGTTTTTATTTAATCATGAAATACTGTAGAACAATATAACAGAGGAGGTGTACTAAACAAACCAACCAACACATTATACCATAAAATATCACTCTATACACTATCAAATTTTATGTGACAAATGTGAATTGCCCATAATGTTGAGATGATTTGACATTGTTACGCCAAATATTATACAAATATTGACTGCTCATGACGAGAATGGTGAAATCACCACATCACCGAGGCGCAATAGATTTCACCGTTCCCCAAATCTAGGGCAGTCAATATTTGTTTTATATACCTCATACATAGATTCTACAAGGCCTAAAAAAGTACTCACTTCTTAGCCTAGTCTAGAGGCCTACTAAGATCAAAGAGTTTGTCTAGTTCTTCTTTGCTCATTTCCTCAATTTCAACCCATCATCTTACAATATTTGTTGACTATTGACAAGACATATTTAATTTGTCTTTTGGTTCTTTTGCTATCGGCTTCGTCAAGAGGTATAGGCCTAGGCTAGTCCTCCTTCATCCAGGAGCTCAAACCGACAGCTTCCATAATTATTGTTTATCGTCTACTTGCTGATCTGTGGCGTTGTCAAGGGGCAATCTCTTTCATCGTAGAGGTCGCAGTCCCCTCTACCGTCAGCACGATGGTAGGGCCTAGAGTTTCAACCACGCGATAGGTCAAAAAAGTACTATTTTTCAGGGGAACAGTACTTTCTATTGCCCGCTTCTTAGCCAATCAGATGCTTAGAATCTAGGTACGAGGAATAGAAATGCCATTACTGTGCTCCTTATATGGAGCTTTAGAAAACAAACAGGGATAGTAATATGCTTCGTACTATATAACACCGATGAGTAAACAAACAACTGCAATTTTTAAAACCCAAGTGCTCTGCCATGGACTTTTTACATAATATAATAATGCATTATAATTTACCTCATAAGTATCTAGCTACCCCAAGTAGGTAGCAAAACCATTTCAAATACTGTATTATTAACTTTCATTCAATTGTGCTTTAAACAGAGGGAAGACAAAGTAGGAAAGAGACAAACAACTTGCTCTCCTCTCAATCAAAATGTATACAGAAATCGGCTTCATCATCGTAGACAGAGATAAAGAGTTACCGCAGACTTTCACTTGATTATTTCGGTATAGCGCCACCAGTAACAAAATATGCTGAACCTTTTTACTCGTTAACTGTGAAGCACTGAAGGCAATTATTGTGCATGGAAAAGTACTGGCATGTGATTTAAATGGAACTGAGAAATTTGTCTACTTTCCATAATAATGATTGACAAATCAGGTGTCTTATTGATCCATCCATTATCATCATATCAAGGAAGGGAAGCTTTGATTATAGATAAATGACGATGGAGATATACTCTACTTTTTTCATGATACTGCATGACCAAATATTGACTTTTATAACACTATAAACAGAGACCAAATCACAATTTATCTACCCATATTATTCTATTAATAAATATGTATCTGAATATCAGCAACTGTTCACCCATAAAAACATTTCACTTAAAATTCTCAGAGCTTTAACACCATGCTTGTTATTTTTTATTAGGAAATCATAGGACAACCTTTGGCAAGGATCAAACACAGAACCTTGGTGACAAGAAACATCACAAATTAACTTCTTTATCATTATTTTTTATTCATTTTCTTATTTTTTTAAATTTCAATATATTTAAATGAAATTTTAGTTTGATTTCCACATTCAGTTATTCAAAAAAATATATATAATGCAAAGGCCTTTTCATATACGCCAAATAAATGTTGATTATAAATGAGCCAAAAATTCACAAAGGTTCAAGTAACCCCTGGGGGCAATCATCAACCACTCTCTACTAATTAATCAGCTGCAAAAATGTTGTTTGAAATATAAATTTTTAGATATTATTAGGAGTGGGAATACAGATATTGTTTAAAAAGGCAGAATAAATTGGAACAAATAATAAAATGAAAAATGATTGAGAAAAATTGAATGAACAAATTTGGAATGAAATTCTCATAAACTGAAGGAAAAATTCCAAAAAATACAATAAACTGAGAACAATAACTTTTACTTGTTGTTTTTCTACATGCAATTGACAGCCATTCCAAAAAAATATTGAAAAAAAAAAAGAATTGTTATTTTAACAATATTTGCAATAGGCAACTTTTTTCCCATAGAACCTAAAACATGGCAAATATGTTTCATTATTACTTTTTACACTCTGATATTATTTACATTATATTATATTTTGTGGACATTTTCTGGACAACATGTTCTTGGTAAACCATCCATCTAGACTGTGATGTTACTATTATTGGCTCTTCCCTCTTCAAGTCTGTTCTAGTTATTTTCAGCTTCAACAGTCTGTAAAGGAGGGGAAAAATGTTATACAAAAAAATTAGAATGCAAATATAGAAAAGACACTACACAATATGTGTTGTAATATATCAATTATAAGATTTCAACTCTAAACCAGTGGTCGTATGCTGAATTATATCAATTTTAAAAAGGATGTGGAAATGTGTAAGAGAGAAAAAAAGTTTCCCCAATTAATATAATCATATAGGCTGTGTTTCCTTTCACCTCAAATAACAATTAACATTATTTTTCCACTATATCTATCCTAGATATTTTTGAAAAAATAATGGATGACCAGTGAGTATTATGGAAGCAATGTCATACCATATAGATGAATCATGAAAAAGACAAATTGGATAGTTACCACAAAATTGAAAAGAACTACTGTAGGCCTACCATTCTTTTATTGACTGAATATTGATACTGTACATTTTATCACTATTTAAAAGGTATTTCATACTGGGTGGTGTATTTTACTACAGGCCATATCTGTCGTGTACCATTGGGTGATAAACTAGGCTTAAACTAGTACCAAGGCCAATATTCATTGACTAAAAAATATATTGATACACCATACTGTCAAGATAATGTCCTTCCTAGTACAGTTGAATATAGGGCCAATAGTCCATGAGCTAGGAGGGGGATCATTTTCATCCCTCCCCCTCCCTCCTACATCCCTATATTTTTTATTTTATTGTTTTTTAGGTACCTATTGGTATGATGGCTAGAAAAAAAAATGTTAACATGAAATATTTTCATTCCAGAGGTACTTTATTATGCATTTTTAGAAAAAAAGTAAATTCTGATTTTCTGAAAATTTGGGGGTAGCGGAAACTACAGCAGCTATAGCTACAGTTTTAGGTAATGAAACTTATGAAACTTGATATCATTTTGTATTGTATTGTGCACTAATATTTGGTTGAAAAATAGCAATGCCTGTATTAATATTGAGTGTGACATGATCTACATTTACAACGGATTAAGGTACTTGATAATACAGCAGTGAATCTAACAATTAGAATAATAAAAGTGTACCGGATATGAAGGGTTATCTTTCTATTAATTAATTAAAAATTAAAGACATGATGTTATTTAACACTTATGATGGTACTATATATGATAATGATGTATCATCATCCTTCTCCTTATCATTTAATGGATCATGATGAATATGTTTTATGAGGATGGATGATTGAGTGATGATGGTGATTATAATGGTGATGTTAAGATATAATCATAACAATGACAGTGGTGATAAAAATGTTTATGATTCATACGTTACTGATGATGATGATGATGATTAATGATATAAATGATGATAATGACAATATTGATGATTATAATGCTAAATGGCGATAATGATGACTGTGATGATTATGGTGGTGATGATGAAAATGATGACAGTATGGTAGTGGCGATAATAACACTGGCGGCAACAATGATGACAATGACAAAAATGTTGGTAAAGATAATAATGATGATGGTAATGATACTGGTGATGAAGATAATGATTTAGATGACAGTAAAGATGATATTGGTGATAGCAATGATGATGATAATAATGACAAGTGAAAGGAATGACAATAACACCATTAGGCCAAAAAAAAAAAATTATTGTGTTGGCCACGACCGACCGACCCAAATTTTACAAAATGAAGGGTCAGCATTTTAATTTTTTTTTTCTTTTTTTGACAACGAACAATATTTTTTTATAAGCCAATAAGGCTGGAGTAGCCTCGTCCAGGCTAGGGGGTCAAGGCTAGCCTATCTTGCTGGATGGTTTATTATTTGTGTATTTTCTACTTTTTAGGCATAAACACATATTTGGTTGTTAAAAAAAAAAGTTTTCCTACCGACCTACCCATTTTTTTTTTTTTGGTCTTATCTACAATCTACAGTTGTTAATGACAAAAAATAGCTGCATAAAGGAAAAAGTCTTTGAAATCCTTTCTGGAAATGAGTTTCATAAAATCAATACCAATAGTTACAAAACAAAAATAGTGGCGTGTATAATATGTAAATTAAATAAGTTGTGAAATCAATTTGAGATTAAATGAAGCAACACTTCTAAGTTGTGAAATAATGTGGTGCGCCAAAAATAGAAATCAAAACCAGTAGTGTATAAAAATCATTAACATTTAACACATAGCACCTCATACAGTAATTATGGTCAGCTAAAAAGTCAAATCATTTCTTAGAATGAACTGAAAATTGGCAAAAGATGAGCACCAGAGGGTAACATCGTATATCATGTAAATTTGAGGGAAGTTGAAATCCTAAATTTTTTAAAATAATGGACAAACAAAAACTGCCATTCTTCAGTAACATCGAAACAAAAATATGAACCTTTAATACATTATATTGTGCTGCCGTATAGTATTATTTTACCATCAGAAATAATTTCAGAGAACTTTCAATTACAATTCAATTTTCAATTTCAATTCTTTCTTTTAAAATTACACCTTCATAGGAAATCCAAACTTCCTAGAATTAGTAATCCTAGCATATTGGTGGATGCTAATGATGTTCTTCTCTAAAATTCAGTAAGCAAATGCAAATGCAAGCTGACAAACAATGGTTTAGTTAGATCTGTATATGATGTTTTCTCACTGACTGAAAGGTACCGTAAGAGCAACTACGGTAACTGTATTACTACCAATGGATGGCTGACCCCTATTCTGGGGTCCACATTTTTGTTAAGACAGTCAAAAAAAATGTCCTGAGTATAAAATTTGTCATATTCTGTAAGAAAACTTAAAGGTAATCTTTAATCTTTATATTTTACCAGTAATTTATAGGAATTACTAGAATTCCCTACAACACTGCTTGACCTTGTCAGTAGTTCTAGGCGACCCCCTCCCCCAAAGGGCTGACTGGAGCCTCGGTCGGAGTCCCAAAATAACACGGGGAGAGTTTTATGGTTCAGTATGGTCCAAATTGTGATTTTAAACCACAAGTTATCATATATCTGTCTCTTATACACATCTAGATGTGTATAAGAGACAGATATTGTGCTGCCGTATAGTATTATTTTACCATCAGAAATAATTTCAGAGAACTTTCAATTACAATTCAATTTTCAATTTCAATTCTTTCTTTTAAAATTACACCTTCATAGGAAATCCAAACTTCCTAGAATTAGTAATCCTAGCATATTGGTGGATGCTAATGATGTTCTTCTCTAAAATTCAGTAAGCAAATGCAAATGCAAGCTGACAAACAATGGTTTAGTTAGATCTGTATATGATGTTTCCTCACTGACTGAAAGGTACCGTAAGAGCAACTACGGTAACTGTATCACTACCAATGGATGGCTGACCCCTATTCTGGGGTCCACATTTTTGTTAAGACAGTCAAAAAAATGTCCTGAGTATAAAATTTGTCATATTCTGTAAGAAAACTTAAAGGTAATCTTTAATCTTTATATTTTACCAGTAATTTATAGGAATTACTAGAATTCCCTACAACACTGCTTGACCTTGTCAGTAGTTCTAGGCGACCCCCTCCCCCAAAGGGCTGACTGGAGCCTCGGTCGGAGTCCCAAAATAACACGGGGAGAGTTTTATGGTTCAGTATGGTCCAAATTGTGATTTTAAACCACAATATAGGGATAATCCATTGGCAATCAAAATAACGTTATTTGGATTGGAAAATTATTATTTTTAACTTGTGATCCAACGACCTTGTCGTGGCGTCGGTCGACAGGGTGTCCAAGCCTGTCCAACAGGAGGAAAAATTCCCCCTGCCCCCCCTGCTGGAGCCACCTTTGCGAAGTGCAACCAAGTTTCCAACATTCAAGAAATTCTGGTGGTTGATAGTACATTATGTCCAGATGTCCTGTGCCTCCGTGTAAAAGCAACACAGAGGCACAGGAAAACAAAGACAATAAAAACATACAAGCACAAGAGTAGACTAAGAATTTGCAAAAGTAGAGCAGGTTAATGAAACAAGTATGCCTTCCTTTTTTTAATTTTCCTTTGAAAAAAAAAATGAAATTGGAAATGTCTTTAAGCTCAGTAGGGAAATCATTCCAGAATGAATGAAAAACTCTCAATTTTCTTATTATAAAGTAATAATTTAATGTAAAGACGACGAGAATCTTGTTTGCAGTACTGAATACGTTTTGTATAGCGCCCCCAATGAACAAAAAGTGAGATTATCTATCCCTACTCTACAGTAGCAGCCTGAACAAGCATGCACAACTCAAAATGGAATCTCAGTTGAAAACTATTGATATTTCTTGCTTTAACAAAGTATTATGTCAATTTCTTGGTTCAAATGTTTTCTTTCTTAACTGATGTAACATTTTATATTATTTTTGAATACTTTTAAATACAATTTAAGTGCAATTGTTGTTAAAAGAGATTGTTCATAATGACATCATCACCACAAATCGAGTTCATAAAATTGAGAGTTTGTATTATTGGGATATTTTACTGTACACTCAGTTCAGGGATTGTCAGGGACACTTATAACAACATATAATCCATTTGTACTGTCGTATTTTGACAGTTTTGATTTCCGGAATGTAATTCTTTAACTTAGTTATCACAGGTATAATTTAATTAAAACTGGGTGTAATGTTATATCTGTAACTTTATGATGCAGGGTACTGCACAGCAACTTATTAATTGAAAACATAGCAACATTCTATAAGGGCCAGAACTAAGTCAACATGCCGGAGGTCTTACTTAGATGTTTGTCGATCAATCAATTAATCAATCAATCGTCCAAAATTATCATAGTGCCAAAATCTACTTGCTTCAAGTAATGCCCAATGGCAGTGTGACAGATTCAATGACCCACTATTATTAAAATACTATTATTACTAGGGTTTGAGCCTATTCTAAAAATGTCCCTTAAGTGAGGAACACCTCCACCCTCCCCCTCAGACGATAGGACCCTAGAGTAGATTTTGCTTTTTTTGTTTTCTGTACAGCGTATAGAGACCACATACTACATGCTATATAAGTCTCTGACCATTACCATTATATGAACCAAAATGAAGATGGCGAGTGATGGCTGGCAATGAACCTTAAAAATTATAGACATAGGTAAAAAAATTCATAACAGATTGACACACAATTCCAAATGTCACTGGGCTTTTTCAGCTTTTTATAATAAATAAATTGGATTTTAAGCATAGTTCTGTGGTTACTAATTGTATCATCCAAGATGAATAGAATGAGTGATGATTGGCGATATTATAGGACTACTGTACTGTAGGTAAAAAACACCTCATCCAATAGACTGACCTCGATTTGTAAGTACTTTGGACTCCTTCTTTTTTTTTTTCTGCTCTTACCAAGATCTCAAAAACACAACCAACATTTAATTTAGAATGTCTAAGTTGTTGAAAGGAGGTATTGGCACATAATAGATGTTAAACAACCTTTCCCAAGTTTTTTTTCCCAAGTCTTTTTTATTAATTCAAAAACCTGTATCTAATTTGCCATTCTGAATAATTTCTTCGAACACCCTTCAGTGATTTAGAATATTCCTTTCAATACATAAAATTTTTTTACCCTCTGAATCTGGACTTTCATGAATGTTATCATATATTGTCTGCTTTTTTAACGTACGGCAATCTTCCCGTTATGGTCAGAAGAAATAGCAATTCAATTTACAAGACAATCAGATTTATAGATTTAAAAGCCCTAGAGTCCGGATATGTTTAATAATAGAAAAGAAAACAATACTCACAAATGGGGTTCTCTCTCCATATTTACTCCAAAACGTTGTTTTACATATTCTAGCACGGCTGGTCCTTTCATCGAAGCACTGACACGCATCAAAAGGTGGAGAGTACAAATGCAGGCTGACCGCTTGCTCACAATGGCTAATGTTCTCAATCCTATGAAGACCTTTGCTATCTGAAATTATATAAAAAAGCAATTTCTTTCACAACAATAGAATGTTTGTAAGAACTGGTTTTGATTTTATAAATAATTTAATAATATTTATTGATTGATTGGTTGATTGATGTTTGATCTGTTGGTTGGATAATTAAGTGGTTGACTGACACTGCAGGTGGATTTCACTTATAAAATTACATTATTTGCATTAATTTTATTAAGTGATTATGTTCAATAGGCAAATATATTGATTGATTTGATTTATTAATTGATTGTCTAGTCTCTGAAATGCATTCATCAGAAACCACAAACCACGTGAGGAAATGTTTTCAAGGAAAGGGGTTACCATAATCAGGAGTTGCTACCACAATCAACAGTCTCCAAATTTCTAATCCTTGAATCCACAAAAAAATTTTCTTTGGAATTTTATATTTTCACACTTTATTATAAATGGCATTATTAATTAAACACTAAATATGGAGAGAAAATATTATTTAGAAAAAAAAGAAAATAGTATTCTTTTTTCATGGTATAACAGTCGTGCGCAGGGGCAAACTTAGAGGGGACCCCTTTATGGGAGGTTAAAAAAAAAGAATTAAAAAAAAAAAAAAATGATAGCCCAAAACGCCTCAAATGTTATTTTCGGGCGTCTAGAACACAAAACTTTCAAGGGGGCATGCCCCCCGACATGCTAGGATAGTGTTGCCTTGTCGGCCCAACTTTTGGCCCCCCACCCCTTTTTGGACATCTTTGGATCAGACTGAGGAGCCCAACTCCGCTCCCTGTGAGCGCTAGACAACGCCACGGCGTCTACTGATTGTTGGTGGCAGTCTGAATGGATCGTCATTTTAACTGAAGAACATGAAAATATTGTAAGATTACCTACTGTATACGACAAAGGTATAACTTGGGAATTCCCCTTCATGTCTATTCTTTAAACAACAGAGCTGTGGTGTTGTCTGGGCCTGCCGAGACAAACTTAAAACTATGTGCACTGCACTGGGCAAGCCAAACAATTAGCGTTCGTGTACGTGAAACAGCAACCACGTGCAGGGCACTGGGTGAGCCAACCAATTAGTGTTCGTGTACGAAATTATGCCTACCCAGCTACGTGTAGAAAAGTCGATTAGTCGAGTTTTCCACACGAAGCTAAGGAGGAAAGCAATAATTTTAAGCACCGTCACGACGTGTCGGTAGTTGTTCATCAAGCCCAGACCCGTCGTTTTAGATTATAACAACCCGGTATCATTGCTGTTTAATGAAAATATGTTGCATATGGTTTGTTTATTGTTATAGTATTGAAATAATAAGCAGACATAAAGTAACAAATCTCTTTTTACATATGGTTGCTATGGAAAAGGGCTGTTTGTTTTGAATATTTTCAAGGTTTTTGATGATGTCATCGTCGATAGAAGGCGTACGTAAAACCGAGGGTTCGTATAACTGGGGTACGTAAAAACAAGGTTCTACTGTACTTTCAAATTTATCCTATGTGTAAATTTTGTTATCGTATTTAAGTTAGCTGTTTAAATAAATAAATGTCTATTTTCCTATGGATCAATAAATATAGCCCTATGCTTATTTATTGTTAAGGATAGGCCTAATTTTTTACTGCAATATGCATAATACTGTATATGAATTAAAGATTATTTTTAAAATAAAATTTATGTTAAAATAATAAAATGATAAAAACGAATATGGAATTATCAAAGGGTGGGTCATCTAAGGGCCCATTCTAGCAAAAAATGCCAACCGTATTCCGTTTATTTCACCGGGTAATCGCGCTAAACACTCAGCGGGTGGTCGACTGTTTGAGCAAGTTTTAGTTCACGGTAAATACGTGTAACGAAACTACTCCGAAAGTAAATTTCAACTTATCCCATGGTCAACAACCCATTCTTTGTTTACCTGCTACTGCTGCTATATAACCGGCCCATGAACACACAGTGCGGCACGGTGGAACGATAATGTAGCTCAATAACTTATGATGGCTGCTTTAAAATCTGTATGTAGGCAAGTTTATTCAAGTTTATTTCTCCGAATAATGGTAAATCTACAAATCAAACACGTAGCTATGCTACTAAATTTAGATTTCGTCGTGCATTGTGTGAGGAGGCAAGGAGAGCTGCAACCACGTCTGGGCCATAACCTATTGAATTTCGCGCTGGGCTGTGGACAAAACCTTTTTAAAAAACAATTAAGGTTCAATTTATCATCGCCTACGGCTCCATGGTCATTCCATACCCTGTATTCTACCCAGCAATTTGGTGGTCAAAATTGTCAATAGTAAGGTTATTAGACTAGTGTCCGTGTGGGTAAATCGCACAGATATTTTTTCGCTCCAACAGGCCCTAAGATTCTTCCTGTGGCTAGGTTTGTCTGGGTTAATTGTAATGTCATACGGTAGATTAATTAAGCTGTCACCTGGACTCAAGGCTCGACCATGTTGATAACCTTCAGAGGCTTCATCATTAGCTATTGTCTGTCCACTGCTGGACAAATGTTTCAGGATATCAATGCCAAATCAATATCGTTTTCTCTTGCTGCGTTGCACCATTTCACTCTTCCCCAATAAATATCAATCTCATCTCTTAATCTTTTACGTTGTTTTCCTTTGTTCGTTTTGCCATCCATGGGGTCTGTTACTGTTTGTATTTGTTTGTACTCCTCCTGACTACAAGTTCAACATCCAGATTGAAAACCGCTGAGCCAAACTGCATTTTTACAATTATTCTTATCTTATAATCTTTCCCAATAAATATCGATCTCATCTCTTAATCTTTTACGTTGTTTTCCCTTGTTCGTTTTGCCATCCATGGGGTCTGTTACTGTTTGTATTTGTTTGTACTACTCCTGACTACAAGTTCAACAACTAGAATGAAAACCACTGAGTAAAACCGCATTTTTACCATTACTGTTATTAATATTAAAATTAATAATAATAATATTAATTTTAATAATATTATTCTATTTATTTGTATTCATTCCCCTCCCCCACTAGCTTAGCTAGGCCTTTCTACTACTGTGTGTGTGGCTATTCTTTATGGGTCACGTCGATAAAACAAGGATACTGTACGATATCTCGATAATAGTTAGCCTAATCCTAACCCTCTTCAGCGTAATGCACTGTATTTTTCGACATAAAATGTGGAATTGTCTTGTATTATATTGTAATGTCTATTTTTTATTTAGGCTTCTTCATTGTCATTTTTTCTGTTCAATGTTATGTATGTATTATGCAAGAACCATTTCACTCTTCCCCAATAAATATCAATCTCATCTATAAATCTTTTACGTTGTTTTCCCTTGTTTGTTTTGCCATCCATGGGGTCAGTTACTGTTTGTATTTGTTTGTACTCCTCCTGACTACAAGTTCAACAACCAGATTGAAAACTGCTGAGCCAAACCGCATTTTTACAATTATTCTTATCTTATAATCTTCCCCAATTAATATCGATCTCATCTCTTAATCTTTTACGTTGTTTTCCCTTGTTCGTTTTGCCATCCATGAGGTCTGTTACTGTTTGTATTTGTTTGTACTCCTCCTGACTACAAGTTCAACAACCAGAATGAAAACCACTGAGTCAAACCACATTTTTACCATTATTGTTATTAATATTAAAATTAATAATAATAATATTAATTTTAATAATATTATTTTATTTATTTGTATTCATTCCCCTCCCCCACTAGCTTAGCTAGGCCTTTCTACTACTGTGTGTGTGGCTATTCTTTATGGGTCACGTCGATAAAACAAGGATACTGTACGATATCTCGATAATAGTTAGCCTAATCCTAACCCTCTTCAGCGTAATGCACTGTATTTTTCGACATAAAATGTGGAATTGCCTTGTATTATATTGTAATGTCTATTTTTTATTAAGGCTTTTTCATTGTCATTTTTTCTGTTCAATGTTATGTATGTATTATGCAAGAACCATTTCACTCTTCCCCAATATATATCAATCTCATCTCTAAATCTTTTACGTTGTTTTCCCTTGTTCGTTTTGCCATCAATGGGGTCTGTTACTGTTTGTATTTGTTTGTACTCCTCCTGACTACAAGTTCAACAACTAGAATGAAAACCACTGAGTCAAACCGCATTTTTACCATTACTGTTATTAATATTAAAATTAATAATAATAATATTAATTTTAATAATATTATTTTATTTATTTGTATTCATTCCCCTCCCCCACTATCTTAGCTAGGCCTTTCTACTACTGTGTGTGTGGCTATTCTTTATGGGTCACGTCGATAAAACAAGGATACTGTACGATATCTCGATAATAGTTCTTATTCTTATTCTTATTCTTTTATTACACAATAGAATAATCTGGATGGGAGGGCCTGGTCTCTAAAGTAAACTTAATTACTATAACAATTGTTTGAGAACCACTCCCATCCAGTATAAAAAAAACCAAAAAAACATCATTAAAATGTAAGATAAAATATAATAGACAACACATCACAACATCAAGCAAAAAGCAAGCAAGAAATAAAAAAAGAGAAAATAAATAAATAACAGAATAAATGCAAAAATAGTCATTAAAAGCAAAAAACAAGGTCAATAACAATAGTTAGCCTAATCCTAACCCTCTTCAGCGTAATGCACTGTATTTTTCGACATAAAATGTGGAATTGTCTTGTATTATATTGTAATGTCTATTTTTTATTAAGGCTTCTTCATTGTCGTTTTTTCTGTTGAATGTTATGTATGTATTATGCAAGAACCATTTCACTCTTCCCCAATAAATATCAATCTCATCTATAAATCTTTTACGTTGTTTTCCCTTGTTCGTTTTGCCATCCATGGGGGTCAGTTACTGTTTGTATTTGTTTGTACTCCTCCTGACTACAAGTTCAACAACCAGATTGAAAACTGCTGAGCCAAACCGCATTTTTACAATTATTCTTATCTTATATTCTTCCCCAATTAATATCGATCTCATCTCTTAATCTTTTACGTTGTTTTCCCTTGTTCGTTTTGCCATCCTTGAGGTCTGTTACTGTTTGTA